TAGCTCTTTTATCTTGTCATTTCTTCCATTTGCTTTAGCTACTCTCTGTTCAAGGGCAAGTTTCAGAGTCTCTTCTGACATCCATTTTGGTCTTTTCTTCTTTTTCTGTCTTTTTAATGACCTTTTGCTTTCTTCATGGATGATATTCTTGATGTCATCCCACAATTCTTCTGTTTTTGGTCACTGGTGTTCAATGCATCAAATTGATTAGATGGTCTCTAAATTCAGGGGGGGATATAATCAAGGTCATATTTTGGCTCTTGTGGACTTGTTTTAATTGTCTTCAGCTTCAACTTGAACTTGCGTAAGAGGAGTTTGATAGTCTGTTCCATAGTCAGCTCCTGGCCTTGTTTTGGCTAAAGATATTGAACTTCTCCATTGCCTCTTTCCACAGATGTAGTCGGTCTGATTCTTGTTTACTCCAGCTGGTGAGGTCCATGTGTATAGCTGCTGTTTATGTTGTTGAAAAAGATATTTGCAATGAATAAGTCCTTGGTCTTGCAAAATTCTATCATGTGATCTCCAGCATCATTTCTATCACCAAGGCCATATTTTCCAACTACTGGTGATTCTTCCAACTTTTGCATTCCAGTCACGTGATAATCAAAACACCTTGATTGCATGTTTGGTCAATTTCAGACTGCGGAAGTTGGTAAAAATCTTCAATTTCCTCGTCCTTGGCTTTGATGGTTTGTGTGTGGCATAGTGCCTAAGGCATTTGACTGCTAACCAGAGGGCTGGCAGTTCAAACCCACCGGCCACTCCTAGGAAGGAAGATTGGGCGGTCTACTTCCTTGGAGATACCACATCAGAAACCTAAGAAACATTTCAACTCACTGATGCCTAGAATATCAATCTTTATGCGTTCCATTTCATTTTTGACAACTTCCAACTTTCCTAGATTCATATTTCATACATTCCATTATCTGATTATTAATGGATGTTTGCAGCTGTTTCTTCTCATTTTGAGTCATGCCACATCAGCCAATGGAGGTCCCTAAAGCTTTACTCCATCCACATTATTATGGTTGACTCTACTCTGAGGAAGCAGCTCCTCCCCAGTATTCTGAGTGCCTTCCAACCTGAGGGGCTCAGCACTATATTGGACAATGTTTCAGGGCTATTCATAAAGTTTTCCAGTATTACATCAGACAGTGTTTCACAGCTATTCATAAGGTTTTTGCTGGCCTATTCTTAAGCCACTACAGTACAACAAAGTGACAGACAAGTGGTGGGTTCATTAACTAATAGTATTTAAATTTAGTGAATTGAGTAGTCATTACTTAATTCAATTGCTGAGACAAGAAATTCTTCTCTTTATCTTTCAATTGCAATTTACTTTGTATTTTCTCTCTTGATTATTCATTCAGTGAGGAGTGTTTGAACTGGGACTCATGTAGATATAGCTTCAGGAAGCTCACCCACCTGGGATGTGTTTGAGGGAAATGGAGTGACTGTTACTGTAATTAAATAAAATTCTCGCTAGTATTTCCAACCTATAGAAAATGAAAAACTTTCAGTTTCTCAGTGTTTCCATATATTTTTTAGAAAGGCTTTTCAAAATTTTCCATATATTTAAAAAGTGCCTTCTGAAATTAACAAAAATCCTCAAACCATTAATTAATCCAATTAGTTTTTTTTTTCAGTCAGACTTTATTTTTTAGAGCAGTTGTAGCATTATAGCAAAATGATGGAGAACCAGTGACATAAAGTCAATTCTGACTCATAGCAACCCTCTAGGATAGAGTAAAGCTGCCCACAGGGTTTTCAAGGCTGTAAATCTTTATGGAAGAAGCAGATTGCCTCATTTTTCTCCACCACGGAATGACTGGTGAATTCAAACTGCTGACCTTTTTGTTAGCAGCCAGATGCTTTAACTATTATGCCACCAAAGCTTCTTTTTTTATTGTAAAGACTCAAAGATTTTGACAAACACATAATGTCAGGTGTCCACCAAAATAGTATAAAGCTACAGTGATCAAGACAGTGTGGTACTACTAAAGGAATACACAAATAGAACAATGAAATATACTGTTTTTTAGTTCACTATTTTGGGTCTTTTGCCTTTTAATATAAACTTTAGAATCAGTTTGTCGATGTTCGTAAAATAACTTACTGGGATTTTTTGAAATTGCATTCAATCTATGGGTTAGTTTGGGAAGAACTGACATCTAAATAATGTTAAGTCTTCCCATCTATGAACATGAAATATTTCTCCTCCTTGCATTTCCCATTTCCATTTGTCCTTCTTTCCTTTCCATTCCTACCTTCTGAACTTTATACCCAGGCAAATGCTGCCCTTTTGATCTAGTATGGCTGGTTGTTGGTTGGTTACCTCCTTGGTGTTATTATTCACCTAATTGGCCTGTCTATTGTTTGGCTGAAAGTTGAGGCCCAGAGTGAGTTTAGTTTCAGGTATGAAGGGTATCTAAGGGCCATAGTCTTAGGGGTTCCACCAGTCTCAATCAGAACAGTAAGCCTGGTCTTTTTTGTTATTTTGAGTTTTGTTCCACATTTTTCTTCCACTCTATCTTGGACCTCCTATTGTGATTTCTTTTAGTGTGATCAGCAGTGGTACCCAGGCACTATCTGGCTATTCTAGTCTCAATGTCATGGAGGCTTGGGTTCATGAAGTCAGTTCATCCTTTGGACTAATTGTTTACATGTATCTTTGATTTTTTTTCACTCTTTTTTAATCTAGATGGGAGAAACCAATGGTTGCATCTTAGGTTGTCACTTACAAGCTTTTAAGACCCCACTACTACTCACCAAAGTAGGATGTAGAACACTGTCTTGGTGGACTGTGTTATACCAGTAGATCTTGATGTCCCCCATGGCTATGATCCTGAGCTAGGAGGCCCGATGACTCAAGGTGTTTGATTATGGCTAAGAAGTTTTCATAGCTTTGCCTCTTGTATGTGCTATTAAATTCATGGATATATTTGCAACATATATAAATAATGTATAAACACAAATATAAATGTAGAGATATCCTCTCTCAAATCTCTCTCTATATTTATTCTTGGATATAGACCCATTCTCCTTCCCACTCCTGTTCGGTTTGCATGTGTATATATGTATTCACTTGTAGATTATTGTTATTACTGTTATTGCAGGATTGTGTATTTAATAGTATTCACCTTTATTGGCTTAAAGTCTTATGCTCTGCCCAATGTCTTCCTTTGCCTTGTGCTAACCTCCTTCTTATTGTATATTGCCTTTTCCTTTACCCAAGTTATTAGGTGTCTACCCTCTGGGTTTATTTTTCATCATAATCTTTATCATATGATGCATTGCATTACTTATTGTATTATTTATTAGATTATGCACTTCATAAAAGAAGTGACTTTTGTCTATTTTGTACACTGTTGCATCCCTAGCACTCAAAATTGTGTCTGTAATATAGTAGGCACTTGGTAAAATAACTGCTGAATAAATGAGTAGAAAATTGTATAATTATTTTGCTCCTAAAGATGTTAAAGATTGTGAAATTCTGTAAGCTACCCAAGTTATTCAGGACCTACATCAACAATCTAATACCAGGAAGATAATTTAATATGACTGAAGCATTTGTTTATGGAGCCTTGGTGGCACAATGATTAAGTGCTAGGCTGCTAACTCAAAGGTCTGTGGTTCAAACCCATCAGCTGCTCTGCAGGAAGGAAGACCAGGTGATCTGCTCCTATAGTTAAAACAAAAACAAAAACAAAAACAAAAACAAAAAAACCTCACTGCCGTTGAGTTGGATCCAACTCATAGCAACCCCTCCTTGGGTTTCTGAAATGGTATCACTATAGAAGTAGGTCATCCGATCTTCCTTCCGAGGAATGGCTGGTGGGTTTGAACTGCCAGCCCTCTGATTAGCAGTCAGATACCTTAGGCACTATGCCACCAGAGCTCCTGCTTCTATAATTATGGCCTAGAAAGCAGATGGAGCAGTTCTACTCTGTCACCTTGGGTCACTGTGAGTCAGATTTAACTTGTTAGCATGCAACAGCAACAACAATTTCTTCATTCATTGAGTAATTAAACAAACATAGGATATTGATTAACCTATCAATAGCTATTTATAGTGTGCCTACTAAATGCTCTTGTTTGGTATAATGATGCAAAGATGAATCAGACACAATTCCTGCCCTTGAGGAGCTCACTAGTCTACTGTGAGAAGCAGAAAAATATATACAATGAGATAAGCTTTATGACTGTATGAGGTAAAATGAGGGCATATAGGAAGGGTACCAAATGCCTTTGGACTGAGGAAGAGTTAGGGAAGGCTACTTGAAGACTGAATGCCTGAGGTGATTCTAGAAGAACTAGTAAACAATGTTTGTTGTTGTTATGTGCCTTTGAGTCAACCTGACTCATAGCAACCCCTCCTTGGTTTTCCGAGGAGGTATCACTACGGAAGTAGATTGCCCAACCTTCTTTCTCAGGAGTGGCTGGTGGGTTTGAACCTCCAGCCTTCTGGTTAAGAAGCACTATGCTACCAGAGCTCCTATTAAACAATAGCCAGATGAATAGTTACAGGAAAGAATGTTGATATATCAGGATGGGCAGGCAGGATGGCATGGAATTTAGAATGACTTCATGAGATCCAGAGGACTTGAGGAAAAGAGTGAAGCATGGATGCATTTGGAAATTATAGTTGTTGGGTTTGATGAGGTGAGGGACAAGCAGAAATTGAGGATGTTCCTGGCTGATATTTTCTCTTTCCTATAAAGTAGAAGAGTGGAGTGTCACCATATGAGAGCATTAAAAGACAATGGATTGTTGGTTGATTACTTTGTGTGTGTTGTTTCAAACCTTAAATAATGACTTTTGTAAACTTAACATATTTTTAATATCCAAGTCTTTTGTTTGAAATAACCTTTCATGAAGTATGAATGTCATGCATCTTGCAAACATCTTAGTACTTGCTTAGTTCACAAAAGCAAGGGTTAACCTTTATTGTAGACTATATGTATGTAAAACAGTTAAGAGGGATTTTCCAGATTCCTGCTATAATGTTACTTGGGTTCCTCCAGAGACAATGGATGTTGGGGTGAAAATCCATGGAGCCCAGGTGATATATTCTATTGCTTCTGCAGAGAGAATGACACCTTCTTACTCCCATAGCTTTGGTGAGCCCAGAGATAAGGCAAATTACAATTTCAGTAGCAGAGGGACAAGTTTTGGTAAAAGCTCTATTAATACAGATTGTCAGAGTATGGTGATAATGCTGTCATGCTTGCATTTGAATGCCATTTAAGTTAATTCTGTTTAGTGGTCAAGTACTCCTTACCCTACCCTGCTTTAAAAAAAACATATGGTTGTTTTAATATAAGCAATTACTAAAAAAATTGAGAGCATTAAAAATTTTAGGTAATTTTAAAGCCCATAATAATCATACTTGAAAAAGTCTTGAGTATATTTTTTTGGGAAATTCATATTTCATATATATTGCTTCAGCTTTTAATCAGAATGTATGTCTTCTACATTCTAAATCTTTTTATTCAAATTGCTCCTGAATCCTTATCCCCAGTGTAATAGGAAAAGGATAAAAGAAAAAAGTCCAGATCACAAATGACACTTTAATATTATGCATCTTTATTTTGTTCAAAAACCAAAAGAAAAGAATGAAATGCAAGCTGAGGACATTTACCTCAAGCTGTTCTAAGCAGTTCCTTTTTTAATTTAGGGACAGGAAATACGCATAGCAAAGCTGGCAAGCAGTGAGTATTATTACTGCTGGCATTTGTTTAGTCAGCAATAATATGGCCAGGCATTGAAGTAAGTCCTCATAATTGTCACATTTCAGACAACTCTATTTTGCCAAATAACATTTTATTGTTTGCCAGAACCTTTTAGGAATGACAAGAAACTACATAATCTTTATTGAACAGTCTTTAAAGATGAATCTGTGGAAAAATGTCACTTATGATTTATAAAAGAAAATGTCTCTTTTTCATTGTGTTTTACCCTGCAGCTTCTTCCAGGTATGTAGTGCAGTACACTTTTTGTTACTTTTCATCAAATCAATGCCTTTGAGGATGACTGTGTTGTAATTGATTTGTGCAGTCAAGGTAATGGAAGAAGTCTAGAAGTGTACCAACTACAGAATCTCAGGAAAGCTGGAGATGGGCTTGATAAAGTAAACATGTATGATGATTCATCAGGAACCGTCAAAATAATTTTGACCTAACCAGCTGCTCCACGTGAGAAGGATGTGGGAGTCTGCTTCTGTAAAGATTATAGGCTTGGGAACCCTTTAGGGCAGTCCTGCTCTGGCCTATGTTGTTGTTGTTATGTGCCTTCGAGTCAGACCGACTCATAGCGACCCCTCCTTGGGTTTCCAAGGCAGTATCACTACGGAAGTAGATTGCCCAACGTTCCTTCAGAGGAGTGGGTCGTGGGTTTGAACCGCCAGCCTTCTGGTTAGCCGTCAAGTGCCTTAGGCACTAAGAGTCATAACTGAAGGAATGAGTTTAACTGGCTTCTTTATTTGGAATTAGTTACCTGATCTTTTGCCCACTGTGGCAAACCAGTACAGAGAATGATTTTGAAGCACTGAAGGCATAGTTTGTCATTTATTTATTTAATGTTAAAAAAGAATATGAGTGGCTTACTTAATACCTAACAAATAAAAAGTATATTAAAGAAAGCTAAGAGAAATGTTTTGAAGCACGTTTGATTAGTTCATATTACACTTGAGCACTAACCATACTTAAGTTTCCTGGAAGGGATAGCAAAATGGGCTGTACTCTTAATTCTCTGATAAAAGAAATTACATAATTTATCTGTCAGAAGGGATTAACTTCCTGGTACTGAACTCAGGGGAAATTTTTCCTTGGATTCCCACCCACCACCACCCACTCACTGCCCTTGAGTTGGATCCAACTCAAAGCGACCCCTCCTTGGGTTTCTGAGGTGATATCACTGCGGAAGTAGATTGCCCCGTCTTCCTTCCGAGGACTGGCTGGTGGGTTTTGTCTTCAGCTATAGGTGCTTTTCTTTTTTTACATGTATAACATTTTATTTAAAGAAGTTGAGGCAAATTTTCACTGTCAGTTTCAAAAATCCACTAGGTTTTTGAGTATTTTAAAAAATGCTGAAAATGAATATAACTGTGTAAATTTCATACTATTTTTACTTTGAGGTGTGAGTTTTGTTAGTTTATAGAAGATACTTTATGATTTGAACCTCAGGGCTGTTTGGGGGTTTATAAATGAATGAATGTACCTCACCCAGTCTCACTGCTGGATATGCCAAGGGTTAGTGATGTCAGTGACGTGTTCTATGATGTGACTCCGAAGAAAGAATGTGTCTTTCCCCTTTAATGCATCATAATCTCTGTATCAAATGTTTTAAAAGCATGGGGAAAAGATGCGGTCATGTCAACTAGTGGGGAAGTTATGGCTACAGAATGAAAAATCACTCCCAAAATAAAAACATTATCACTATAAAAAAAAAAAAGTTGAGGCAAATAGAGCAAAATATTCGGATTTGACAAAGATCAGTGGTAAATATGATATTATTTTCTTTAACTTTCTGTAAGATTGAAATATTTAAAAATATAACAAACCAATCCTCCCTAATTTATACCTTCAAATTGTTACATTTGTTGTTCAGCTATAGTTTTTTTTTATATCTTTTAAAAATGTATTACTTATTAAGTTTACTTATTATAATTTTATAATAGATCTTGATATTGGTATTAAAAATCCTTCAGCTCTATTCTTTTTCAAGATATTTTTATTCTTGATATTATGATCTTTTACTTTTTTGTTGTTGTTGCTGTTTTGTTTAGATTTGTCAGCATCTTATCAGTTTTGTAATGCTTTTTAAATAACCTTTGGCTTTGTTGATGCTCTTTAATGTATGTTTATTTTCCATTTCATTAATTTCTGCTCTTATTTTTATTATTTCCTTTTTTACTTTTTTTGTGTTTAGTGTGCTGTTCTTTTTATAACTTCTTGATATATGTCCTTTGTTGTTGCTCATCTTTTCTCTCTAATACATGCCTTTGAGATTATAAATTTCTCTCTAAGTAAGGTAACTGCATACCACAAGTTTTGATGTGGTTTATTATTTTTCAGGTAAAGTATTTTCTAACTTTCATTGTGGTTTCTTCTTTGAAATGTGTTTCTTAATTTTCTAACATATGGGGTTTTTCTAGTTTTTTTTTTTTTTTTTTGGTCATTGATTTCTAGCATCATTTGACTGTATGATTTTAGTCCTTAGAAGTTTATTGAGATTTACTTTGTGGTGCAGCACAGATCATTTTTATAAATGATTCATGTGTATCTGAAAGGAATGTATATTCTTCAATTTTGGATGTAGTTTTTTTTGTATATTTCAACTAGGCATTTTTGTTAATAATATTCTTTAAATTTTATCTGTCTTTATTGATCATTGTCAGTTTGTTATATCAGTTATTGGGAGGTGTATTAAAATCTCTTACTTGTAGTATGGATTTTTCATTTCTCCTTATAGTTCTGCTAATTTTTGCTTTATATATTTTAGTGTTCTGCTATTAAGCACATACAAATTTGGAACTTTTTTTTTTTTACCTTCCTAGTTTACTGAACATTTGTCTCTGAGTAATGCTTTTTGCCTTAAAGTGATACCTTTAAAGTGAGTGGTACAAACAGTTAGGCAGTTGAATACTAGTTGAAAAGCCAGTCCTTGGAAGGAAGGTTGGGCAATCTACTTCTGAAGTGATGATACTGCCTTGGAAACCTAAGGAGGTGTCGCTATGAGTTGGATCTGACTTGACGGCAGTGAGTTTTTTTTTTTTAAAGGTTGGTGGTTTGAACCTACCCAGTGATGTTTTGGAAGACAGGCCTGGAGATTTGCTTCTGAAAGGTCATTGCCTTGAAGCCCTATGGAGGTGTTCTGCTCTTTACACATGGGGTCATAGAATGAACAACAGCAGCAACAATACTTTTTGCCTTAAAGTCCAGTTTTTGCTTAGTGTTTGCATGGTTAACTTTTCCATTATAACTTTTAATATTTCTAAGTTTCTCTTGTAAATTGCATATATTTTAAAAATCCATACTCTAGTTCTTGACTTTTAATTGGGCATTTAGTTGATTCAATATTGGGATTTAAATATGCCATCTTACTATTTGCTTCCTGTTTATTCCACTAGTTCTTTTTCTCTCTCTTCTCTTGCCTTAAAGAGTTCTGGTGATGCAGTGGTTGGTTTAGTCTCTTGCCATCTCTGCATTAGTTGAATATATTTTATTATTCCATTTCCTAACATTTGCCCCCAAACCTCACCCTACCCCTGCCCATTAGATTGGTAGTTATACATTTTTTAAATGCATTTTATTGAAATACAATTTACGTACAGTGAAATACACAAAACTAAAGTGACATGGGTCAATGCATTTTTTTTTTGGCAGTGTTCCCTCTCCTCCCCTCCCATCCCTGGCAACCAACAAAGAAAGTTTCCCTCCATATATAAACCTTTCCTTGACCTTCCACAACAACGAGCTAATACTATATTTGTCCTTCTGTGATTGACTTATTTCACTCAGCATAATGTCCTTCAAGTTCATCCATGTTATGCAGTGTTTTGCAGACTCTACATTACTCTTTAGTGCTGCATAGCATTCCAGTATGTGTATGTACCATAGTTTGGTCATCTACTCTTCTGCTGGTGGGCATGTAGGTTGTTTCCATCTTTTTGCTATTGTAAATAGCATAAGTGTGCATGTATCTGTTCCTATCCTAGCTCTCACCTCTCTGGGATATATACCTAGTAATGGAATTGCTGGGTCAAATGGTATCTCCAATTTCAACTTTCTAAGGAATTGTCACATTGCTTTCCACAGTGGTTGTGTCACTTCACAGTCCCACCAGCAGTGTATGAGAGTCCCAATGTCTCCACATTCCCACCAGCATTTGTTATTTTCTGTCTCATTGAACCTTGCCATCAGTGCTGGGGTGAGGCAGTATATCTCATTGTTGTATTGATTTATATCTCTCTGATGGCCAATGATTGTGAGCATCTTTTCATGTATTAGCTGACCACCTGAATATCCTCCTTGGTGAAGTGTCTATTCATGTCTTCTGCCCATTATTCCATTGGATTGTTTATTCCTTTGGTGTTGAGGCATTGGAGTTTTCCATCAATCTTAGAGATAAGTCCCTTGCCAGATATGTAATTATCAGTAAATATGAATTTGTGGCTGTCATTTTTGTCATGTGCTTTTTCATTGTGTCGATTTCTTTGTTCCATATAATTTTCTGTGCTGAGCGCATTTTGTTTATGAATCATGTTATCACTTCCTTCATTGCTATTATTTTAGAATTTGCTGAGTATTTATGCTGGTCCTCTTTTATTTTGATATGAAGGTTTATCATTTTTCTTTGAGGTTACCCTGTTTTTATAGTTTTCTTCCCAAGTGTAGAACAGTCCGTTCTATCTTGTAGTTGTCTTGACTTCCCTACCATCTAGAAGTTCTGTAAGGACACAGATTTTTTTTCCCTCTTTTTGGTTTGTAGTTGTCCTCATTTGTTGGTTGGTGTGTCTGGTTCCCTGTTTACAATCTTGTAGGCTTATTTATTTTGGATACTTCCATAGCTGGGTTGATTTCTGGGTTATATCATCATGTGTGTTAAGGTCAGTTGTTTTTGGCTGTTGTTACTTCTCTGTCCAAAGGGCTCCCTTTAGCATCTCTTGTAAGGTTGGTCTGGTTTTAACAAATTCCCTTAATTTCTGCTTATCTGGAAATATCCTAATTTCACCATCATATATGAGGGACAATTTTGCTGGGTACATAATTCTTGGTTGAAAATTTTTCTCTTTCAGTGTTTTATATATCCCATCCTACTGTCTTCTCACCTGCATGGTTTCTGTTGAGAAATCCGAGCTTAGTCTTATTGGTTGCCCCTTGTAGGTAACTTTCCGTTTTTCTCATGCTGCTCTCATGATTCTTTCTTTGTCTTTGGCTTTGGTGAGTTTGATGATGATATGTCTTCATGGTTTTTTTTGGGGGGGTCTATCCTGTTTGGGGTTCATTGGACTTTCTGAATGGGTATATTCTCATCTTTCATCATATCAGGGAAGTTCTCCTCCAACAAATCTTGGACAATTTTCTCAGTAGTTTTATTTTTCTCCTCCTGTTCTGAAATTCCAATGAC